TCAAAACCCATCCCCAATGACACACTTCTGTTGGCACTACTTTTAAAATCTGTCTTAATGGGGTTCCTTATGCCTTTACCTCCCTTTCACCAAACCCCCAATACTAGGCAGGAGAGAAAGCAGGTTAGAAGGGACAGAGGACATAGACCTCTTTACTTCTTTTGGCTGGGCAGGGTTGTTGGGTTCTTTGGGGCAATACCAATTTCAGCAGTCTGAGTACCCAGCAGTCCAGCAACAGCAAAGAGCAAACAAACCAGCAGTCTACTTCTTTCTCTGACCATCTCCTTGAAGGATCTCTTTCTCTCTCTCTCTCCAACCATCTCCTCTAAGCATTTTTTTCCTCTCCTTCTCAGAGTGTCTCATCTCTCTATCTCTGGACTCTGGTATTAATACCCTCTCAGCTCCTCAGAATTAAACTAATGGCAGCTGGCAAAGACAACAGCCCTCTCCGAGTCACACAAGACTGTTATCAGCTGGCAAAGAGTGTGATCCTCTCTGAGCCACATGAGGCTGTTATCATCTGTGGGCAAACCAAAGGCAGCCGCAGAGCCCACACTTGAGATACAGAACAAAAACAAGTTTACATACCACAACTGAGTCTTTAAAGAAACCAAAAACTTCTACTACATATCTCCTCTAATAAGGCCACATCACCCAGTCCTTCCCAAACAGCTCTACCAACTTGGGACCAAGCATTCAAATATATGAGCCCATAGGAGTCGTTCTTGTTCAGACGACAAACAGCTGCCACGTGGGCTCTGATAATCAAACCCATCTCCTCTGCAAGAGGAACCAGTGCTCACAGCTGCTGAGCCATTTCTCTAGTCCCAAAGACCAACTTCTTAATGTGCTTGCTGTGTTAGTACTAAGTTCTGAGATCCGATCTCCACCTCACATAGAAATCTAGGAGTTGTGATGTGCGTCTGTAAATCCCAGCATGGCGCAGAGACAGGAGGGTCCCTGGAACTCACTGGCCAGCCTTCCCAGCCAAGTCATTTTAGGTTCAGTGAGGAACCCTGCCTCAAAAAATGAAATAGAGAGTGAATGAAGACGACACTTCTGCAAGAGCAGAAGCCCTTAACCACTGAGCCATCTTTCCAGACTCATTTTCTCTCACTTTTGAACTCTATATTAGTCATGTAATGTGTAGATGCTTATGTTTCATGTCAAACTTTGTTTTTGAGGTTTGCCTGCATAGTTATATATGTGAGAGTTTATTCATTTTAAATACAATGTAAAATTTCAGTGTATAAACATATTCCACAGTTTATTCCATTTGGAGATATTCTGAGTAGTCATTATCAGCCTTCTATTCATGTATCTCTGTTGGTATAATGTTCTTTTAAAATCTGTACACCTTACCCTTGTTCATTCAAATGCTGATTTCTCCCCTCCCCTCTGGTTTCAATCCAGATATTGCATTGTGATACTCATTCTAAGCATCCTGTCTCAACTCTTGTGTAAACAGGCAAAAATAAAGCAACTAGACACAATGTTGAGCTGGGAGGAGCCAGAGGACAGGAAAGAGGGGAGGAGCTAGAGGGCAGGAAATGAGTGGGTGGAGAAGGGGCAAGAGGAGAGCTAGGAAAGGAAGCTGGAGGAGAGATCTGGGAACCTATGTGGAGAGATGGACTGGACCTAAGATTTCACAAAAAGCAAGTATAATGTGGGAAATCTAAATGTTAGGAAATTATGAGGACTTGGAAGTTTAGGATGGAGTAGCTATTGCCCAGCATTGTGTTCTAGGTTAATTAAATAAACCCAGTCTCTGTGTGGTGATTTGGTTAGACAGCTGATTAGGATTACCAGAAGATAATTAATAGTAAATGTTAAATGTCACCTACAACATATCTCAATGTTATATACATATATAACATATATGTATATATATATATATGTTATATATGTATATAACATTTATAAACGTATATATATAACATATAAAACATAACATACATATGTTATGTTTCATTATTGTGGCAGTGTTATCTAACCTGCTATCACAATCAGATAAAGACGGGACACCTGTTAGATTTTTATAATCGCCTCATGTTCACCTGGGGCTGGGCAGACACTCCGCCTACGCTCTCACAGCTTCCGGCCCCATCCAATGCCATCCACCTTAACCATTCCTATCTGGCCCATCTCCCATCCATAATCCCATGAATACTAGCTTATCTTTCATCTGGATCGATTTTTTCCACACCACAGTTGGGGTCCTTCCCCCCCTCCTGGCCCACATAGTTCCTTTTCCACGCTAACCCATCGTGGTTTCCTCCTCTCTCCTCCCTTCCCATCTGTCTCTTCCCATGATTCTCTTCTCCCCAAAGCCCAGGAACCTTAGCCATGCCTACCTCATTCTGCCCTGCCCAAGGTTAATCCTTTCAATCAGCCAATCAGGAATAATTTCTGAGGCAAGGTTAAACAGCAACACTTGGAGTACATGACAATTTGCTTATAAACACTACAAATCTCTGGGGGCAGGCAAATAATAAATACGAAGCATCAGACCGTACTCCAACAGTTTTCTCTAAGAAAGCGGGCTGACCCAGCCATGAGGAGCAAGCCAGTAAGCAGCACCCATCCGTGGCCTTTGTATCAACCTTCAGAATCATGACCAGTTTTGAGTTCCTGTCCTGACTGCCTCCCATGGTAAACAGTGATGTGGAAGTGTAATCCAAACAAATCCCTTTCTCCCCAGGTTGCTTTTGGTCACAGTGTTTCTTCACAGCAATAGAAACTGTGCGACAGCACCTCCAGGTTGTCTTTATCCGTAATCACTGATGGTTGCACATATTCTTCAGCATTGTTAACTTTGCCCTGAGCGCTGTTTGAGTTAGGGTTTCCGTGGCTGTGATACAAAGCAACTTGCAGATACAAGAGTTTATTTCCTCTCAGACTTGCAAGAACAGTCTGTCACTAATGGAATTTAGGGCAAGAACCCAAGCAGGCCAGGAACCTGGAGGCAGTTGCTGATGCAGAGGCCATAGAAAGTGCTGCCTACCCGTTTGCTCCTTGTGGCTTGCTCAGCCTGCACCCTTGGGCCAGGGATAATGCCACTTCACAGCCACCTGGGCCTTCCACCTCAATCAAGAAAATATACCACAGGCCAGTCTTGGGGGGGGGACGACACAATTTTCTCAGTTGAGGTCCCCTCTTGCAAAATGACTCTAGCTTGTGTCAAGTTGGCAAAACCAGTTAGCACCTGTGCCTTATTCAAAAGGGTTGTGCGTGCAAGCACTGCCAGCTCCCTTCCTTGTCAGCATTCTCGTTGGGCTTTCGTTGGCCTTTGTTTATTCCGAGCACTTGTTACCAGCCAGTGTCTGGGTCCATGCGCATACCAGCTTATTTTCCTAGACTGTAAATGCTCTTCGGTACTTTCCTTAGTGGTGAAAACCGTCACTGTTGACATGTTTAACAAACGATCCCTGTTCATTACCGGTGTCAGCTAATAAAGGACAGTCCAGTCCCTCTGGCATGTGAACGTCAAAGAGTCAGTGTTGGGAAGTGACTTCCTTCTGTGAAGGGAGCCCAGCGCTGGGCTCTGACCTGAGTGTGCTCCGTGCCAAGGGCACTACTGTGGATTCCTAGGCCTCCTGGAGATTTAAAGTGTTAACAGCAGCGGTTCCAGGGCAGTGTGGGGACCAGATATAAATAGCAGAACACAAGTTGGGTAACGCGCCACTGCCAAGCTACCGCTAGGGGTGTTATAAAAAGAGAAGCATTCCCAGGCTGCTCTCACTGTCAACAACATCCCATCCTGGAGGGGAGAGCGCCACAGCCGAGTGAGAATCGGCCTGAGATTGGGCATCCTTTAAACTCACTGCAAAGGCATAAACGCCAGGTAAACATTCTGATTTATTTGCAGCCAGGCCACAGAAATGAAGACCAGGGAACCCCTGGCCCACAGCTGGCTTGGCACATGCCGCCTGTGTTGTATTCCTTATACTTTGAGAGGGGAGTTTGACACAGAGTAGCATTTTAAAATAACTACAGATACTTTACTAGTATTATTACTTATAAAACAGTATTGATATTTTAATAATTAAAAGAACTGCTTGAAGCCTGGGGCCAAAAGAATTATAAAAAGGAAGGCTATCTCTCCTTCCCCTATGCCATTCATTCCCTCTTTCAGACTCTAGAATATGGTGATTGGTGAAAACAGAGGAAAATACTGGTTTTATTTGAGTTACAGCAATGTCAGCTTCCTTGGCGCATACGTATGTGGGAGACTGAAGGCCAACAGCCTGAACCACTTTGAACTCAGTATGTGAGCAGCTCTGGATAACTTCGGCCCGTGAGGATTCTTGCCCTCCTGGCTACCCTTTATGCTGTTACAAGTGCTGGAATGGATAGTGGACACCCTGCCAGTAGGATGATAGAATCCTGTTAGAATCACTGCCTTCCCCGGGCTCCCTAATCTGTCTCTAACTCCAGAACGTTACACACTTGTTTAACCTCTGGCTGATTTCGAAGAGCTGGAGGAAGGTGGTCGGTCACCTCAGGCCGTCAGCTCTGTATGCTGCTTCCCACCCAAATGGGCATGTTCAGACTTGCAAAGCAGGTGGAAGAGCAGAAGCTGGGCATGGGAAAACTTCTGGACAGTTCTCAGAAAATGGGCTTGGGGTGGGTTTAGTTTGTGCTGTGTCCTGTGCGTGCTCAGGGGAGATCTAGAGATAGGGAAAAAATGTGCCTAGGCATGAGTGGCTGTGGCGGGAGAGGGGTGTCTAGAGTTGTGGGAAGGTGGGCAGACTTGATCTCGGAAGCACTGAAGTTCGCTGAAGTTTCACGCTGTCATTTCTAGAACCAAGTGTTAGACTTCTAGATAAAATCAAATGGCTCTTGCAGCCATAGGAATGTATTTGACAATCACTTTGACCATCACAGTATGAATGAATATATACATACACACACACATATATATCATCATGTTATCTCTCTGTGTTTCCCTAAACCTCTTTGTTACGTCTACTGAATTAAAACTTCTCATTCTAATTTAGAAGAGAAAAATGAAGATGGGACATTTTGAAATGGTCACCACGCTGCTGGCAGCCACAGTTCTCATGGACATCTTCCAGGTAATGTTGGGAATGGAAAGCATGTGCTGACTGGGAAGGGAGCCCTGTAGAAACCTGCCTGAGGCATCTCTGTGGACTGACAGAAGGCAGGTCAGGCAGGCTAACCTGTTGTAAGAAGCTTTTCCTTCATTTTGCAGGTGACACATCTGTTAAGTGTAGAAAGTTAAGAAGTTAAAATTACGAAAAGAGGACAGAAAAGTTCATCCATCAGCTCCCTCACTCAAAGAGAGAGGCTCGGAGGAATTAGTGTAGATAGCCTATATGGCTTCTCTCTGCGAGTATAATTTATTTAAAAATATATTAATATTGTACATAGTACTTTTAACCTTGCCCTCAAGTAATACTTCACAGCATTTTCATGCCAATAAATATTCTGGAAATATCATGTGTTCTCCAAATAATGCCACAATGTTTGATTCCATGTTTGTTATTAAACTACGTAATGACTATTTCCTTGTTGCCTTTTTACTGACAGGAATTTTATCATTTTATTTGCTATTCATTTTTTTTTTAAGATTTATTTTATGTATGTGAGTTCTCTATCTGCGTGCCAGAAGAGGCATCAGATCCCAGTACAGACGGTGGTGAGCCACCATCTGATGCTGGGAATTGAACTCAGGGCCTCTGGAAGAACAGACAGTGCTCTTAACCACTGAGCCACCTCTCCTGCCCCCACTGTTCAATATTTGAAAACTGTAACACATTTCACGTATCTCTGGTATAAACAGGTATCTCTGTTACCTGCATGTTCTGTCGTTGGTTCTTTCACTGGAGACCAATGCAACACACTTAAAAACATTTGGAACCACACACCTCATTGGTGTTTAGTGTCCTGTCGGTGTCGTCCAACAGTAACTTCGGCACTGCATGGTGTTTTCATCACTCCCTAAAGAGGTGCTTTGCTTATTGGAAGTCAACGTCACTCCCCCCCTTCCCCCCAATGCTCTGGCAACCAGCGAGGTTTCTGGACATTTTAGCGGAGTGGAACCTGACAGCATATGACCTTTTGTGCGTGGTTTGCTTGGCATACCGTTTTCAAAGTCCCTTCATGTTGTGGCATATATCAGCATCCCATCCTTTCCATAGTGAACACCAACGCCATTACATGGCCGTGACACATCTTGCTTATCAGTAAGGAAACTGGGTTGTTCCACTTTAAGGCGACTGGGAAAGAGTATTGCCAGGAACATCTGTGTATGGGTTCCTGTGGATGCTTTCAGTTCTTTTGTAGAATCGTTGCTCTCTGGGGACTGACGAGAGCGCTGTTGCTAGCCCTACGAGGTAGTTATGTGCCTGGTGCTATGTAAGTGACTATGAATTAGCCGGCGCCATGCTACACGGCACGACAGAATTTTCCATTATTCGAGTGTATGTTTCACTTGGGTGTATATCTAGAGTAGTGTCACTGGGTCAGAGCATAACTTCATGTTTAACTCCTTGCAGTCCTGCTCAAGTGGCTTCCAGGCTGGCTGCGCTTGGCAGCTCGCCCCAACACAGAGCCAGGGCTGGTCCAGCTGCCTCCTGCTTACTTGTGATTTTCCTGTTTTGCCCTTGTTTTTCAAATTTTATATATTTATTCATTTATTTTTGAGACAGGGTATCCTGTGTGGCCTGGGTAGTCCTGGATTTTGTAGAACAGGCTGGCCTTGAGATCCACCCATCTCTGGGATCACAGGCGTGGGCCGCCACACCCCAGCTGCCCTTGTTTCTGTGTCTTCATTACTTTCATTCTAATGGGTAGGAAGTGGTGCCCTGGGTGGTTTTCACTTGCCTTTTAAGTATTGGTTTGCAACACATCATCTTAACAAACTTATGTTTTTTTATTTAGTTGGTTCCTCTTCTGAAACACCAAGGTCATTTCCACATATTTGGAATGAATTTTTGGTTGTTGAATTCCGATGCTGTGAGCTTTTGTTTAGGTGGCTGCGTCTGAGGAAAACAACGGTATCAGCTCATTCACCCAGTCTTCCGTACCTGCTCCTTCTCCATTCATTTGTCCTGAATGGTGATGGCACTAGGAGCTTTGCCACACAAGGCAAGGCACGCGCTGTACAGAACACACAATCAGCCATGGTGTCTGGCCAGGAAGGCCTGCTGTCTAAAATTAGACATGTGGAGACTGCTTGGAGGCACAGGGGAAAGACAGGAACATCCTGGATCAAGTCTGATATGGTGTGAGGAATGTGGGAGGCCGGTTCAGGTCTTTCGGTCTTTAGGATAATTCGCGCTTTGGTGCTCAGGCTGACTCCGGGATGGTCTGTGCTGGAGAGCAAAGTGTACTTCTTGACTGTGAGACTGGAGTGACTCCATGTCTGAAGCTCAAATCCCCATGTCAGGAAACTGACCTACAAACCCAGGCATGCTAGGCTCGCTGGCCCCAAGCTGAAAGTGCTATGGCTAGTAATCCGTTTCTGGTGCTGACCACCTCGTTATCTCACGAGTAAAATGTGTGCTTTTGTTTAGCAAAATTAAACTTTTTAAAAGTGCTGCATACATGCCACTGGGACATCCTACCCCTGTCCTCTGAATAAGGGAGAGAGCGCGTCCACCTCTACTCTGTGCAGTATCTTATCCATGATACTTCAAATTGCACAAAACCGTCTTGAGAATGTGGAAGAGACTTGTCGCTCAGGATGCTGTTCCAGCCCGCACTGCCGCCGAGGTGTGGGGTTTCTTCTGCGCCATAGGGCGCAGGCCAGTGCGTGCTGTGGAGAATTCCTACCCATAGCCCTCCGCTGACATTCACTCTTTCACACCAACGTGTCACAGCCGAGCAGAGCCATCCACCGCCCGGGGACACAATCCATAAGTAGGAGGGGAGGAGAGAGTGGGCCCCGGGACCGCGAGAGAAGATGGTCTCAGCTAAATACTTGATCTCAAGAGCAGTTCCTCTCCTTTTGCTTTGAAGGTGAAGGCGGAAGGGCCGGACGTGGAGGCGACCGCGTTTGACGACGAATACCGGAAGTGTGGCAAAAGGATGGAGGTCAAGTACGCCCTCCAGCTGCTCAGGGAGGAGATTGCCGACGACGACCTCCTGCGGGTGGTGTGGGGCAACGCCGAGGTCAACTGGGAAAAGCGGAAGGCCCAGATCCTCTACCCGCCCAACTTCAAGGACCCCTACGGGGTCGCCCTCATGGCCTACGTCACGGAGGCGAGCCAGAAGTCCGTCTTCTACCACACGTTCAACAGAGCTGTGCAGAGGGCCGGCCAGTCCCGACAGGACTACATATATGACTTCCAGTTCAAATCTTTTCATTTCTACCTGGTGAGGGCCCTGCAGCTGCTGAGACGACCTTGCGAGGAGAGTTACAAGAACGTGGTGTACAGCACAAGTCCCAACATTTCCTTCACCATCGCGGGGCGAAACCAAGCCAGACTGGGCGAGTGCACGTTGGCGTCTTCAACCAGGCCCCTGGCGGTTAACAACCAGCAGGTGCTAACCATCCGTACCTGCTTTGGCGTTCCCGTGGACCGGTTCCTTCAAACAGAAGGTGAAGAGGTTGTTCTGATACCCCCGAATGAAGTTTTTCAAGTGTCTCGAGACGGGACCGGCAATGAGCTCATCCTGCAGAGCACGAACAAGACCTGCAGCTACTTCGAGTGTTCGTTCCTGGGGGGTGAGTGCATGATTCATCCGCTGGCTTCGTCTGGGAGGAAAGGAGGCCGGGTGCAGGCCCAGGAGAGCCTCGGGTGTTTGCTAGGAGAGATGACATGGGCAGTTTGCAGCCTCACACTCTCACGCCGTTTCTTTATCCACAACTCACTTGTCAGATGGATACGCATACTGGATTAAGTTCAAACAAAGACTAAACAGCCCTGTAAAGCAGAGCCCGTGTGCTCGGCAGGGCCTGGCAGTGGTCAGAAACATTTTTTGGTTGTCACAACTCAGGAAGAGGGGTTTTGTTCATTGTTGGCCAGGTAAACAATGCTTATGCCCCTGTCCCAACGAAGAATTATCTGGTCCAAAAAGTCAGTGGTCCCGGTGTTTGTTGAGAAGTCCCAGTACAAGTCAGGCGGCAGAAACAGTTCCATCCCATTCCCTAGCCTCGCGGACATCCGTTCTAAATCGTCTTAGCTGTTTTGTTTTTTTTTTCCATGTACACACCATCATGTTTGTAAGTGAATAGCATGGCTCTATTATTATTTCTGATTTTAATTTTTTGTTTTTTTTTTTAGACATGGTCTAGGTAGTCCCATTAGATTATCCAGTCCTCACGCACCGACTTCATGACTTCATTTAAGACTTCGTTACTATTGCTGCAGGCTTTTAAGTCCAGCTGCTTAGGAGGCTGAGGCACAAGGGTCAAGTTCAGGGCCTATCTGGGCAACTTGTGAGACCTTGTCTCAGAGGGTCATAGGCTAGTGATAGAGTGCTCACCTTGCACTAAGGAATAGAGTTTTCCTATTTCTGTCAGCTGTGACAGAAAACCTGATAGTTTTTATGACTAAGAGTACACTGTCAGGCATCAGGCTGTCTCTCTGATCCACTGCTTTGAGGGTTGTTGTAGTAAATTAAAAAAAAAAATAGCTGTTGGGCTATATAATGTTTATTATTATTATTAGCCCTAAGACTATCATGGTGGTATTATCTAACCCGCTATCACAAGTAATAAGATACAGATACCTGTTAGAGTTTATAATTGCCTTATTTACCTTGGGCCAGGCAAATATTCCTACCTATGCTGTCTGAATCACCTCACCATCCATCTCCCAGCCCCCATCCAATGCCATCCTCCTTAACTGTTCTATTTTCAATCCATAATCTTATAAATACTTGCATTTATTCTTCATCTGGGCCTTTCCACGCCATTATTGGAGTCCCTCCTCCCTTCCCCACGTGGTTTCTTCTCCAGGCTTACCCATTGCAGTGTTGTCCTTCCTGTCCTCTTTCCTGTGATTCTCTGGCCTCTCCAAGCCCAGGAACCTTAGCCACGCCCACCCCACTCTGCCCAGCCCAGTTATCGGCCGTTTAATTAGCCAATCAGATAGGTTTACACAACATGGATAGGCACACCCAGATCTCGAGGGCTATTAACAGGCATCAGATCAACCTCCAGCAGAGAGTTCACATTTGCATTATAATTTGCATGCAGGCATCAGTCTGTACCCAAGACAAACACAGGAGGACCAGTGATCTATGCAGCTCTAGGGAAATCAAGACCTATGCCGTGGGTCTTGATTGTACTTCTGATTCCGACCATTTACTGGAACGATTTTGTTGGTCACTTAAAGCTACAGGAAAGGCTTAGAAGGGAGGCGATCAGTTTTGCAGCCTGTAATGCAGGAGGAATGCTGTGGGCCGTGTTCCTGGGCTGGCTGAAGCTACTGCAGCCTCTCCATGCCACCAGCCTGAGGCCTAGCTTCTCCCCGCCCAACCCTTTTCCAGATTTGCACATCTTCCCCGAGTTACACCTTTGTTTGGTGGGATGAGGCCACGTGTTGGCCACAGTTCCCTAATTTTGTTTTGTTTTTATTTGTTTGCTTTGAGGCAGGGTTTCCCTATGTAGCCTTGGCTGTTCTGGACTCACTTTGTAGACTGAGCCTCGAATTCACAGAGAACCATCTGCCCCTCCCTCCCCAAGTGCTGGGATTACAGACATGAGCCATCGAGCCCAGCTGACCACAGTTTTCTAAGAAATGTTGTCTCAGGGCAAATTTTCTAAGACTCCATGTGTGAAATATCTGCCATTAAGCTCGAATAATGGTTTTCGCAGCCTGTCATCCCCTTGTATGGCTCTAGGGACTTAGACCTTATTGGGAGTTGGTGATGGAATGATGACAAGGCAGGCAGGCAGGTGGACAGACAGACAGGCACAGAGAGTGGTCTGGGCTCAGTGGAGAGACCTCAGAAGCTCAGCATGTTTATTATATAGAGCTGAACAGAGAGGGAGGGTTATTATGTACTGATAAACGAGGAGCCAGGCCTTATCGCATACAGTTGGATCAAGGGCACAGGTAGGAACAGTCTCTGAGGGAAAGTAATGTTTAGGCTGTAAATGTCTGAGGGGAGAAGGCTATGGTAGACATTTCCTACATGTGCTGTAAATGCTCATTCTTGGTCCTCCAGAGAAGGCCTTGCCACCCTTCAAGCCGGAGGCTGTGGGATCCTTGACGTGGCTGTGTAGAACCACTCTGACCATTCAAAGTTTGGAAGAGTTGTGGTGTGGGTTTTTGATGTTTTGGAGTTTGCTGGGGTTTGGTTTGGTTTGTTTTGTTTGTTTTTGTGTTTTTTGTTTTGGTTTGGTTTTTGCTGCTAGAGATGAAACGTGGAGCCCTCAACTTGCCAGGCAAGTTCCTTCTCACTGAGCTGCAGGAAGGAGGCAAGCTGAGGTGTACATCTCAGGCCAGCCAGAGAGCTGATCCTTTTATTCTGGCTTAGGGAGGACATTTTATAAAACGCCATGGTTTTGTACTTTGCTCTGTGAGAATAAAGGGTTAATAAAAATCCATTCTCCCTCCTCCCATGAGAACAGCTGGATCCCTTTGTAGCATTTCTCTATGCCAATGGCAGAATGACAGCGCTCTACCCGTCGCTGCCCTGGGGTAAAGAAAGCCTCATGGCGAGGTACATGTGAGCAGGAGGGGCAGGTGGGAACCTCAGTCCCTGGGGCAGCGGGTAGCAGTTTTAACCCTCTGAGAGCCACGTGATGCATCCACGAATCTGTCCTGCGGGACAGGGCCCTGATACTGATCTGTCCTCCATTACTCAAGAGTTTTTGTCTTCCATGCTGTGAGGTCACAGAGGCCTCTGTGTGGCCTGCTAACTGGCATGCTGGTAATTGTGGAGGGTGGCGCTAGAGACCCCTTATGGGACTTCATCTGAAGAGACCCCTTGTCTGTGTCCTTGCTTCTTGTACCGCCTTGCATTCTCTGCAAAACAGTCAGTGAGGAGCTGGCCTTCAGAAACCAGGAGACTTTAGACCTTGAGTCAACGGGCCCAGAGTACCAAGAGATAAAAGGGTGGGAAGGGCAGCGCCGAGGAGACAGCATGTCAGTTGGGATGTTGACATGCTTTGGGTAGGATGCGGAAACCAGGCGGCCATCGAAGCACAGAGGGTGTAGGCTTTTGGCCAGTGTTCCCAGGGCCCTACACTGTGACCTTCTGTGCTCCCCTGACTTGAGAGTAAATGATTCCTCAATCACCCTGGCCACCTCGCCTACCACGTTCCTGACCAGCATTCAAGTTGCATCTGATTCTGAGCATTTTTCTTGAGGTGATGTCGACACAAACGAGCAGACTATGGTCAGAAGGGTTCATCCCTTCACCCTCTGTGTACCGGCCGTGACCCCAAACCAGGCCGGCTAGAGCTGGCTTATACCAGAGTTGCACCTCTTCCTGTTCCTCCGCATCATGCTGAGTTAAAATTGGCCACAGTTGAGTTATTTGTTTTTTTCACCCTTATCCAGGGAGTGGTGTGTTCCTAGGGGCTTGCCTAGGACCATGGATTGTACCAACTCCTACATGTACTGTATATGTTTCTATACATCCATACTTAAAGTTTAACTTATAAGTTAGGTAGATCAAGAATTTGATAATGACAGCAGCGTGATATATTAGGAATTCTGCGAATGCCATCTCTCTCTCTTGAAGGAATATTTGCAGCCCTCACTTGACCACTGGTAACCGTTAAGCTATGGAGGAAGAGGGAACTTGGAGATGAGCGATCACTATAAGCCACAGTCTCCCTTCCTCCCCCACTGAGCACACTTAACGTCTCTAGCACAACGCAGTCAGAAACCCAGTGGCTGCAGCTGGACTGTAGAAATCATTCCTATTTTGGTGTCCCTGATGCATTCAGGCAAATGCCATTTATGGAGGCCCTGGTTATATAAAAGCTCTGGCTACCAACCATATTTAGCACTAGTGCCTAGCTGATGGCCTGCGGTGGGTGGCGAAACCCACATGTTCCATGTTTGTGAGTGGAATTAAAACAAAAGACGCAACGAAAGGTGAGCTAGTGGACTGATTGTGAATGAGCCAGGGGCTTGAGACATGCATGGCACATTATGAGCCTGTGTAAGACGGAAATGGGGATGAAGGGAAGCCATTTCACAGGAATGTTCAGCTCGGCCATGAAGGTGGCCTCTGGGTGGCTCACACGTGTTTGCAGAGCCCTAACCAAGTCAGAGGCTGTTGAGCCTGATGATTGAAAACAAGGCTGAGCCAAGGTTTAGAGAACCTGGCGTTCTCTGCTGCCATCTAGAGGTAACTAGTGGGAATACAAGGTCAGAAGCTTCCGAAGGCTAGCTGTAGGCGTAGCTGAGTGGTAGAATGCTTGCTAGCAAGCGAGAGAGGCCCTGGAAAACAGACGACAACAAAACTGTGGTTCTGGATGGGAAAAGGCAACTCTTCTAAAAGGTTTACTAGACTTAGGATGCTAGACATGGCCCTGTGTCCCTGCTGAGAACTTACCTATGACCATACTCTAACATAAAAATAGAGGGTGGGTCTTACAAAAACTGGCCAGCTAACAAACAAACCAGTTCCATTTGTTAGGAAATGGAAAGACTAGTTCCTGGTGGCTATTCCTGGTTAGTCCAGCGATCAACCCAAGACGACAGAGAGAAAGAATAAAAGCCTTTTCCTTTCTCAAGACAGACCAAAGCAGGTCAACCAGCTCAGGTTATCGCTCTGGAAAGCTTGAGAAAGATGGAACGTCACCTTTGTGACCTCCTCGTCATTAAAAGTAACCCCACTGCAAACTGTGACTGGATTTGGAGGGCTGTGGATCAGGGTGTGAATTCCTAAGAGAAAGCCCAAGCTCTTGGATTCCTGGTGGCCTCGCAGTGCAAATGTGACAGGTCTACAAAAGAAGACAGAGAAACAGAGCAGGTGCTGTCCACCGAACCCTAAGCGCCTTAACCAATACTCTGGGCATAGATGAGCTGGTGCTTCAACCATGTTTCTGTTGAGTGAGGGGGTCAGGGGGAAGCTTGAGTAACACTTGACATGCTTGCAGAGTTGGGGGAGCAGTAATGCAAGTTCCCTAGTTCGAAATAGGCCTGGCTAGGCAAGAGGAGCTTCTGGGTTCAGGTAGCTGGCACGAGGCTATTTTTGAACTCAGTGAGGCATGCTGGCCCAGGTTCCTGCAAGCCATCAAAAGGGGGAAAGAAAATGAATTTACTGGGATGTCCATATTTGTGTCTTACCCACCCACCCTGAGGCTAAGGGGGCATAGGCAGAAGGCTTGCCTGGCACGCCTAAGGCTCCGTGTCCCTTCTGTACTCAGAAAACACAGTTCCGCCCAGACCAGAGTGGCTATTAAATATGTATCTCATTGTTCCTAATTGGTCCGATAGCATTTCCTGGCAGCGTGGAGGCTCCCATGTTGTTTGGAGCTATCTGAGGTTGGGCGTCAGCTCACGTGGTGGGAAGTGACCTAAGCTCACCACTGTGAGCCAACGCCTACAACAGTGTGGAAGAAACAAGCCCTGTACACTGACTGGATTTGGTCACCACTGCTGTCTCCATCAGGGTGAATCGTCAGGGGTGGGGGCTGGAAGGAAATGCGTGTTTGGGTAGCTGCTGTAAGGAGTCGCCTCGCCCTGTCAGGGGTCTGGCCTGGCAGGTCCGGAATCCGCACACGTGGGGCTTCGAGGCCCAGCAGCTGGAGCTCAGAACAGGAAGGCAGGGCTCTCTCCGCAGGCACAGTTCCTTTCCAGTGCTCCTCTCAGCCCTTCTGCCGACCAAATCAGGCTGCATGGAAGATGCTGAACAGTTTCATTGGCTGCGTATAGACTTCAGTGTGTCTAGAAAATGTAACGGCATAAGAGTAGCTAGAGGAATGTTTTATAGACCAACTGAGGACTGGCTGGGTCCTGGACAGATCAACCAAAAACTTACCTTCATCCTGTCCTCCTTTCCCACACAACAAATTGCTCTACAGTAGTGGCTCTCAACCTTCCTAATGCTGCGACCCTTTAATTCAGATTCATGTTGTGGTGACCTCCAACCATAAAATTAGTTTTTTTGCTACTTCACAACTGTAATTTTGCTGTTACGAATCATAACGTAAATATCTGTGTTTTCTGATGGTCATTTCACCCTGTGAAAGGGTCATTCTGTCCCCAAAGCCTTCACGACCTACAGGTTCTAAAATGTAGCTTACGATACCTTGCATTGTCTGGGTGGAGCCTCATCTGTTCTTTCAGCACCCCAATCCACTTTGACTGGAAGGGATCTGTCTATTAGCTCATTTGCCTGGCTTTGGGTGGGATACAGTCTTCCCTGTGTTATTGTGGCACAGTTCCTCATTGGCAGCTGGCTGCAGGCCTCCCTTGGTTCCTAGCCATAGGTCTCTCGGGCCTACAATACAGCAGCGCTTGTCAATCCGCAGAGCAAGAAAAATGCCATTAAGTCAGTGACCTAAAGGCTGAAGTGATGCCTCTGGTTTGGCTGCAAGCGCTATTCTGCACGCACTCCAAGGGAGAGGATCACACAAGTGTGAGTGTGAGCGAGGAGGGCCTGCAGGAGCTATGTCAAAGCTGCTGCATAACCCCAGCTCACTGTATCTGTCGCCTCCCTTGGGGACGACACCAATAACAGTGAGCTCTGTCTCTGGGGCATCTAGGAGAAGAGAATATTTGCCGCAGAACCGCCTGTCTGGTCTGGTTGGCATGTCCTTCCAGCAGGTGCCCTCACACGCTCCAGCTCCTGACTCCCAAGCGCTCGGCGACCCAGCCAAGGCGGAAATTAGCGTGGGTGAATTCAGGTTACAGCTGGCTGAACACAGTCGTAGAGACGCCCCTGGGGACCGATGCGGTTGGGGCGCTCTCCTAGTGGCTTTTGCTTAGCGCATTTGCCTTGTTTCGAGACAGGGCCTCACTGTGTAAGGAGGGGCTACGCGTGCGTCCCCGGAGCCAGCGAGGTGGGCGCGGCTAGGAGGAATGGCCCTTAGGCAGCCTTGTCCTTTACAAATGACGTCCTTCCTGTGGAGACTGGCGCATAGATCCTCCTGTGTAGGAGAGACAGCGTCACCCACGCTCCAAGGCTTGGTCACGTGACTCCTTCAGATAAAGTCATGCATACCTCATGCACTCGAGCACAAAGTTGTGTCCCCTGCTTGTGTCTGCAGAGAAACCCCGGACATGGATGTCTTCTCTTTAGGAATGTGGTTGTGAGTGTCGAGGTGGACAGCCAGACGGCTCTGTATGTCCTGGTGTGTACCCCTCCAGGGTCACCAGTGGGTCAGGCCGGCACACTCTATGTCAAAGAACACTTGATACGTGGTGACACGGCAGTGCAAGATCGCTTTTACTCACTCTGGAGACCGTTTGGTCACGGAACTGTTGTTATTTCTTCTCAGGCGTCCAGCGATGTGGCGGGGCTCCCAGTGAGCTAGTTGCTTGGGTGACTGGGGCAGTGAGGATACTGCAGAGGGGCAGGGTCTCAGGCTTCCTCGGTTTGCAGTGCCCTTTCATGCCTGAGCTTTATTCACAGGGGCCCCTGGGCTAAAAAGAATAGCTGGAAGTTTTACTCATCTTCAGCAATATCAGACAATATCAGATATGCCTAACCTTTGAGTAATTATCTGAAAAGATGAGAAAAGACGTGGTTTGTCATGAGCATGACTGACGTGAGGCATTTTTAAAAAGTCGTTGTGTGTGTGTGCACACGATTGGGAGAAGGCGTGCACAGAGCATCTGTTCCATGGAGGTCAGGGGACAACTTTCCAGAGTGGCTTTCCTCCTTCCATCTTCTCGAGGGTGCCAGAGACTGAACATACGCCTCTGTGTCAAAGTGCCTTTACCCTATAAGCCACGCATCCAGCCAGGTAGCTGTCCTAACAGTCTTGTTCATGATAGGTTAGTGTAGTTTCTGTGTAGGGCACAAATCTTTGACTCAGTAAAGAAAAGGGGTAAGTTGAGCCCATGTTGGTGACGGTGAAAGTGTCTCTTCCTCTGCATATCCCTTCAGCATCTTCCTGTTTTCCTACCCTGCTTCCGACCTCGTGCCTAGACAGCCTAGAATCCCTGCATCTATGTTTCCCCCAGTTCTCTGCCAAACCCCAGGTGAGGTGTGGCTGCCGCCTCCTTCTGGGACCTTACCGTGATGTTCTGTTTTTGTCTTCATCCTATTTTAGCAAACGTAGTATGCTTTGCATTATACTGTTGCTGAGATTCTTCTCCCAGTGCTGGGATAAAATACTCTGACAAAAGCAATTTGAGTGAGAAAGGGTTTATTTTAGCTCGCAGTTGCAGGTTTCAGCCTAGTTTGATGGGGAGGTCAGAGCGGCTGGAGCTTGAAGCACCAGCTTGGTTCCCTTTTCCAACCTATGCTAGCCAGGGAATGGTGCCGCCCACAGTGGGCAGGTCTTCCCATCTCAAGCCACACAGTGAAGACAAGCCCAGGCCCACCTTCTGGGTTGTTCTAGGTTCAAATCCACAACACCATCATGGACATCAGCTAGATTCTAGGGAACCAGTTACTTCCCGGACAAGTGGAACCTAGGCCAAGTTACCTGGGTTTCTTGTTTAAATTCTAAACATGATCCAGGATTTGAAAGCAGATTATAGAAGAGTGTGTCTCTTGAAGTGGGGCAAGTCTCTCAGAAGCGTATCCTTTCATAACTAGACTTCAATCAGACAGATACAGAGAGGAGACCAAGGCATTCTCACCCTCCATGGGCACCTGGGCAGCCCTCATGGCTTACACTTTTGTCTTTTCTCCCTGACCTACTAACATTAGACAGAATGGCAGAGTCCTGCTCTGTCTTGCAGAGAAGGAAAGACTGGAACCTTGATGATAATTTCCTTTGACATCACCAGTGCAAGTGCCTAGAGCCATTTGAAACACTTGACTGTTAAATTCCATGTTCCTATCCTCCTAAGATTGTAGGGTTGTTTTTTTTTTTTTTCACATACAGAATTGTGTTTCAGAACACCCCAACTATTTTTCATATGCATATGAAGAGAATCTTTGCTCAAATGTAAAAATATCGTGAAAATGTGATTGAGATCCCTTTTTTCCAAAGGGCAGGAATTGTCAAATAGAAGACTGGGTAATGCTTGTTATCTACAGAGAGAATCAAGTCAGACAAGGACATGTCTCTCTAACTTTTGTAACCAACCACAGACAAAGATGAGAATGTAAAGTGATAGCCCTGTAATGGCCCTCCACAGTCATTATACGTAAATTCTTAGTGTAACTGAATACCTTAAAAGGTGCTGGTTTATGGCTGTTGTGTGAATACAAAAACCGTGTTCCTGATTTTGCATCCCACTAAAGTACATGTCTGATAAAGTAGGCATTTACAGATTAGATTGCCAATATCTGTGTGCCAATATTGCATGTCTGCCATCATGGAGAAGGTCTCTCAGGGGCTTATCAGACTGTTTGAAACTTGGTAGTGTAGGTCATGTCTAAAATGTATCTTTGTGTTTCAGGTCTAAAAGCTGAAAACTGTCTTAACCTGCCAGGTAAGATATGTTTAAATGATCATCTCTGTCATGGTAGTCTTACTAGTTTTGTCTTGTTTTTGTTTTTCCTCACATGCATGGGTCAAACTTCGGTTTTACAACCCCGCCCACAACATAGCGTCGTACTGTCATCCTGTCAGCCATCATCTCTTAAGGCTGACCTCTGCCCTTGTTAGTGGCTGTAAGTCCATTTGCTCTCCACTCTAAAGCAACATTCAGGAATTGGGAGTTAGTAGGAAGAAAAAAAGGTTTATTAAAAAAGATCAGTTCCCGGAGAAGATGGGAGAACAGTTGCTTGGGGGCTCATCTCAGGTGTGTGAAGGGGCTTTAAAGGAAGGTGTGGGGTAGGGGGAAGGAAGGTCATCTGATGAGTCACACAGGCCTGACAGTCACTGCATCTTGCACAATGCTTTCCCCATTTCTACTGGGATGATATCCTGGACATACACTTTTCATCTTCTAGTCCAGTGCCTGTAACCCTTTGACCATCGCATTATTTCTCTGCAAATGAAACAATTATCCTACTTCTAATTAAAGACTAGTACCATCAAGAACTTGTCCCACATTTTGATGTTATCTGAAGGCCACCAGGCAGTCTAGGCAAGTCAGGAAATCTCCCAGGAGGTTCTAGGAATATTGTTATAAAAGAATGAAAATCCCAACCATTCCATTTTACAAATGAAGACTCAGGAGCCAGATGCTGGGATGAAAACCTGCTATCTCAGAAAGGCAGAGAAAAATACCCAGATGACCTTCCTTCTCAGCTCAGGTCCCAATGAAAAAAGCTCCAAAAGCTCACCAGCTCAGCTGACAGCCCAGGAGGAAAAGGCCAAAAACAAGACAAAACAAAAAACCCAAGGCCACAAGCTTGCTAGCTCAACGCTCAGAAAGCCAGAGAGGTAGAGAGTTAAAGCTCAAGAGCCAGAGAGCTAAAAGCTCCTCCTCAATTAAAATTCCCTCCTACTCTTTAATCCCTGTCAGCTGGTTTCTTGCCCCGCCTCTTGATGTAGAGTTTATTAAGTCTTGTGTTACAGAAAGTTCTTGGATTAAAGGTGTGTGATAGGGCTGCACCATACCAAAGAAACAGGTTTTACAGTTCACAATCTCAAGGATCACAATAGAATCAAATATCCTGTAACATAGATGCAAGTGTCCTTCTGTCTCCCTTTCTTATTGTAAATAGCTTACTGGTGTCTCATTTAAAGATTGTTTTCTTGAGGTCTTACAGTGCTAAGCAACGTGCCTTACCAGGATCTCTTTGAAAAGTGAGTTAATCTGGAACAGGGGAGTTAAAAGCACCCTGTCATCACTGTTCTCCTGTGGAGAGCAGTCTCTGCTGTCCTGGTCTTTGCCTGGGGCTGTTCTCTCAAACACTGCTTGTCCTGGGAAAGCCAGGGACATGCCACTCTCACTGAGTCCCGCTCTACAGGAGCTGAAAGACTGGTAAAGGCCCTTACAGCTTTAGCCATTTCCCACTTGGCTCCTGTGCAAAGAATTAGACTCTAATTCCTGTATTTTGATATCTCAGGATATGACATGTGGGAGAATAATGGAGGAAGGGAACGAATATGGTGTAAGGCCTGGTGGAACGTGGGGTCTGTTTCAGCTTCCTTGGGGTAAAAACAGAAGGCCAGAACAAAAAGTACCATCTGCTAGGAGACAGTGGGAGGGTTGGGAAGGTGCTCAGGAAATTCTAAGTGCACTGAAGCTCAGGGTTATCAAGTGTGTCTGGTGATATCAGAGTGCCAAAAAAAAAAATGCCTTCAACTAATGAATGTTGTCAGGGAATTGTCGTTTAAATATTTGAAAACAAGAATCCATTTCTGGCTGTCTTCCTAGGTAGCTTTTCTATGCATTATTCTTTGGCTTAAAAAAGAAATCCATATTGCCTTATCTCTGAAATGAAGTGTTATGTTTCTTATAACTACACTTTATATATTTCTTGAGAGTTGGACAACTTGAATCCTTATAGTTAGACATTTAAAAAGAGACTGAACTTGGCATAGCATCTGGGCACAGTAACATGGAAGAAAACGTGTTTGTATTTCAGAGCTTTCTGAACCCGTGTATGTGTACAACCCCGGTAAGTACACACTTTTAAATCCAGCAAGCATGTTCAGTAGCTCTTCCCTGTTTGGCAAATGCTCTTCTACTTGAGAGAAGGTGGTAACTTGGAAAATCCAAAAGAGGGAGGGAAAGAACATGTTCTAGGAAATGCTCTTCTCCCCTGCCTTTGCTCTCTGACCCTCTGAGCAGCAAACAGAGTAAAGGCGGGGTACCCACAAAGCTGTTCACTCAAGGCTGTCTGTGGGGCATGCGCAGCTCTACAATCTACTGTTGGGATTAGCATAGGTGACACCAACATTCCAGTGTGTATTAAAATTCTCAGCATATGTGTGCCACTCCCAAGTAGCTAGATGTTTGATGTGTCCACAGAGTAATCAGCCTTGTTGAGGACACAGTAAATTACACTTACTTTGAGCTAATTAGGATTGTTACGTGGGAAATCACAGGCTCATGCCACCCTGAAGGTGCGCGCTGTGGTTTTATAACGTGACATCTTGACTTATAGCTTTAAGCCCAGCCAGTGAGGAACTGGGATCAGGATTAGCAGCTGTAAAGCTTCGAAGCCTCACACTCCGGGCACTGTGGGAGAAGGGGCCTGCTGGACAGAAGGCCAGCAGAAGGTGTGGGGGAGGCGTGTGTGAAGCCCACCTGGATCTGATTAACAAAGGCCTCCTCGCTCCATCTGAACCGCCCTTAACAGCTCTTCTCCATCTGCACTTTGTTTTGACCAGTACCCTTTGACTAAGCTAAGGGGCTGATTAGATTTTTCTGAAGTTTCCACAGGTGGGGACTCAGACGCCTCATTGTCGGCAGGTAAGCTCTTGGTTTTGCACTGGGATTAGTTCTTTATCGAAGGGAAAAACATATTAAAAACAAACATTCCTTGCCTTATTGTTGGGGATGATTCCTCCTGTCCCCACAGAGGCAAAGCCGCCCATACCCTGAGGACTTGCCTAGAGCCTCTCCTACTGGACCTCTGTGTTCACAAATCCTGACCACTGCATAGGACATCAGCCAGCTATTCAAATTAGACAGTTTTTTCCTGTCTCCCAGGAGACTCGTTCTGTGATGGCTCATTTCAGGGGAGGCACCAGGGAAGTGTGCAGTCCATTGCCTGACACGCGTGGGGAGTCTTGGTGACACTCCGATTCAGCCCATGTGCCTCCTGATTCTTTTCAGCCTGTTCATTTTGTCTCCAGTTAAACTGACACACTTCTCTTGTTTATGACTTAGAGATGGACAAACAGAAGCTTGAAGACACTGGTAAGACATTCTTGTAAACTCTGGGACTTCATGTTTTGCAAGCTACGAGTGGGTGGTAAGAAGTGGGCAGAGGCTGGAGCCCATCTTAGCTTACTAGTTTGATCTATCAGATTGAATTCTTAAAAACAAAACAACCCCCCCCCAAAAAAAAAAAAAACCCAAAAAACCAACACAGCCCTGTGCCTGCTGTCTGCCAGTCTTTAGGTCGTCCCAGAAAACAGAGGACAGTGTGACTGATTATTCTGCAAACTTGTATAACCCAGTGTTGGTGACAAAACAAGCAGTGTTTATTTTTCCTGAATTAAAACGATGATTCTTTGTAGTGTGTCTGAGAAACGTGCACTCACGTCCATCTGATGTGTGCATGCCAAAGTGCACTCCAAAGTTCTGCCTGCATGTTCACCGCATGCCAGAAGAGGGCACCAGATCTCATTCTAGAGGTTGGGAGCCACCATGTGGGTGCTGGGGATTGAACTCAGGACCTCTAGAAGAGCAGTCAGAGTTCTTAGCCTCTGAGCCACTTTTCCAGGCCCCTGTACACCAACGTTTTTAATTAAAAAAAAAAAAAGGGACTGGAAAGATGGCATGCTGTTCTTTTAAAGGGCCTGGGTTTAGTTCCCAGCATACACATTAGGTGGCTCACAGCTGTTGTATTTCCAATTCAGCAGATCTGGTGCCTTCTGGCCTCGGCAAGCTCCCAAGCACAAGTAGAACATGTATACTCACTAAGGAACACACATACATAAATAAAATGTTTTTCTGTGTGAATGGGCATGTGTGCGCATGCGTGCTTGTCTGCATGTATGTGAGTACACACATTCTGTGTGCATATGCCTGTGGAGGCCCAGATCACTCTGTGTACTGAGGCAGGATATCTGGGAACCTGAAGCCCTCCGAGTCTGCTAGTCTAGCTAGCCAGCAGCTTTCGGGGACCCCCTGTCTCCACCTCCCACACAGAGGCATTAGAGGCTGGCCATGACACGCACCCAGCTCTTACGTGGGCTCTGGGATCCAAACTGTGGTGCTCAGGCTTGCAGGGTGAACACTGTCCATGGAGCCAGCTTCAAGGTTTTTATGTTTTAAAGCTGTTACTGTCTCAAGTGCTAGCATAGAAACATTCTCAAGTTGCTGGAGAGATGTTGGAACACTTTTCTATTTTCTTTTCTCCCCATGGTGCCTGGAAACAAACCCTGGCCCCCCTGCAAGCTAGGTAAGCATATTATTGCTGAGATATTCCGCTAGCCCCTGAACAAATTCTCCCATGGTTGATTTAAGGGTATGTATCACTAACCTTAAGAATGATTATGCCTTTAAGCCAGTTCTAACTTAGAAACTTGGACAACATAGTAACTTAAGTGTAAAGCTGTTGCCCCCAGTGTCCCAGTACTGCAGCATGTCTTGGTTTTCAGGACAAGGACTACCACTAGGCTTCCTGCATGCTAGGCAAGTGCCGTGCCACTGGGCTCCCTCCGAGGCCTCATTTTATTTGTTAATTTTAAGACGGCGTCTGAGGGTGCACACCTTTAACCCCATCACTTACAAGGCAGAGACAGGCAGGTATCTGTTAGGAGTTCAAAGCCAGCCTGGTCTCTAGAGTGAGTTCCAGGCCAAAAAAGGCTACATAGTGACACCCTGTCTCAAAAACAAACACAAACAACCCAAAACACAAATCAGACAAGGTCTGATCAGACTGGCCGGCCTTGAACTCATTTTGTAGTTCAAGCCTTTAACTTTTCATTCTCCTGCCTCTGCCTTTTGAGTAGCTGGGATTTGCAGGCCTACCCCACAGGCCCCAACCAATCTTATAGTTCTTTAAAAGAGGCCCCGTGGAGTCAGAAAGGTACCCAGCTGTGGACAAGCTATGACTCAGTGGCTCTGCCCAGAAGCTGATGCACAGAGCTCAGGTAAGTTCTGGCCAAGTCCTACTGGAGCTAATCAGTGGCCAAAGACCCAAAGTGTTACGCACCCGCCCCTAGAGCACAGTGTGATACTCCTACACGCACTTCCCATGTGTTTGGGGCATTATTAAGTAATATTAACATTATTAAACTTGAAACCTAAAAATTAGGCTTTAAAAGGCATTTAAAGGTCCAAGAAAGCAGTTAGAATAAACAGAAATTTAAAGAGTGGGCAGTCTAGCTCAATAAGTATGCTTGCAGTTCTTCAGACACACACACACACACACACCCCGGAGAAAAGAAAGGATAATGGGGATCAAAGTACATCACAGGCATGCATAAAAGATCATACTTGAAATGTATTTTTATGACATTTAGTGTGTGTGTGTCTCTGTGTGTGCGTGTATGTGTGTCACAGTGCATGTGTAGAGGTCAGAAGGCAACCTGTGGGAGTTGGTTTTCTCCTACCACACGGCTTCCCCAGGACTGAACTCAGGTAGCAAGTGCTTTTACCAGCCGAGCCATTCTGTCAGCCAAAACCCATTATTTTGTACAATCAATATAAAAAATGTAGTGGTACAATTTATTATAATCTTAGAAGTTGAGGCAGGAGGATGGCAAGTTTGAGGGTAGCCTGGGATACAGAAAAAGACCCTGTCTCAAAATTAAAAAAACCAAAACCCTGGATTTGATCCCCAGTCCCATAATTTTTTTTCTAAACTAGATATAAAATAACATAAAGGCTCTAGAATTATTAAAATGCAAACATATATGTATGTATACACACACAAAAAGATAAAAAGTAACTATGCCAAAAATGTTACTAACAAGTATATGAGCTTGAGCTTTTTAATTTTGATTTTCTGTCTTTTTTGTTTACACACACGCACACGCACATACGCAAAATGAGAACTGTTGTGTCACAGACTTTGGATAGATTCATTTCACATACCATTTTCTCCTTCTCTGTGTGTGTGCGTGTGTGTTATGGACACCCACGTTATAGCACGCGTGGCGGTCAGAGGACAGCTTGCAGAAGTTGGTTCTCTCCTTTCACTGTGTGGGTTGCAGAGGTAGGACTGAGGTTGTAGCTGGGTGGCAAGCGTCTTTACCTCCTGAGCCATCTTGCTGGCCCTAGATTGGTGTATCTTAATGCAGAATTGTCTGTGGAAACTGAAGGGCTGTCTTGGGTGACACTAGTTCTCACCATAGAGTAAACCCCAGCGGGTTAAGGATTCTCTTCTCTTGCCATTGTCCCCTGCTGCTCCTCAAAGCTTCCTGTGCTTGTCACTATGTACAGCTCAGTATAAACCTGAATTAATTTGGAAGCTGAGTACTCTGTCTTGTTTGTAAGTGGGTTTATAGCTAGATCTCATGTAGCTCACACTGGCTACAACTCACTATGTTGTAGGTTCAATCCTGAACTCCTGATCTTCCTGCCTCTGCCTCTCAAGACTGGGGTTCCAGGCACAGGTTCCCATATTGGATCTACCCCTCAGCCCAGCACCTCTCTGCACACACAAGAGAATTCTTATTTTTAGCCTTAGAAATTAAAAGCCACAGGCTAATCTGGTGAATGAATTCTTTTTCTTTTTCTGTCAGACTAGCTACCAGGTTAGGCAGGAAACACAAGGACTCCTTGGACTAAGAAAGTTTGGGGAATGAATAAAGCCTATAGATCAGAGGGACATCGCTTTTCATAGATTTTTTTAAAAAAAGATTTATCATTTATACAGTATTCTGCCTACACACCAGAAGAGGGCATCAGATCTCATTATAGGTGGTTGTGAGCCACCATGTAGTTGCTGGGAACTGAACTCAGGATGTTTAAAAGAACAGCCAGTGTTAACCTCTGAACCATGTCTTCAGCCCCTGAGAGATTTTGTTTTTTTAATTTAACGCTCTGTTTAGTGAATAAAGCATTTGATGCCATATTTCCGTTAGAACCTACAAGCTATTTCTTTTACATAAATGAAAAAAGACTCCTAGTCAGAGCCAATATCCACAGAGGATGGAGCGAAACCAAGCAGGCTTCAGCCCAGTATTATTTCATTTAAAAAGGGTTACCATGTTACAAAGCTGAACTTGGAGCAATGAGAACTAAATCATAGATGCTCCCGAAATCTGGCTTACTGGGTTTGAATTTCATATTGTTGTTGCTGTTCCATTTATGATTTAACTATTTAGAGATGGGAGACAAGGGGCGGGGGTGTTAGCAATGCCGCTAAATGGTGAACACCAACCAGCATTTATTTCTGCCTTTAGGGAGGAAAAGCCTGAGATCCACTAAATCGCCAGGTAAGGTCATTCTCTCCTTCCTCTGAGAGCTGGTCTGAACATTGCAGAGAATGTTAGCATGGGATGATATTCAAAGGTTTCTCTTTAGCCATGTGCCAGTTGTCTCTACAGCTTTCTCCGGAGATCGTGGAGGCTATGCCCACCTAGCCTTCCCAGGCTGCTGGAGAACTGGTTCTGGGCTCTACAGCTAGCTGTCTGGCTCAGGCCTGGCTTGCTGGGACCTTGTTAAAGAGAGGTCAGGCCTTCCTGAAGCTAATGTTGCTCTGTAAAAATTCTGCTCTGTAGACCAGCTAAGCACACAGGCTCACAGCTGTTATCTGGGACCTGCATGTCACAGACTGCAGCACCCAGCTAGTGCAGACACAGCTCAGTGGGTGCCACTCACAGGCTCCTCTAGTTTGTGAGGCTCACGGAGCCAGAGCTGTGCTACCAGAAGCCTGAAGCCACGGCGCAGTGGGACCTTGGGTGCTGTCAAGAGCTCAGGACACAGAGGCAACCAGAGGTCACTCAAGTTCTTGTTTAGGAAAGAAAATTCCAATGCAGGGCCAGAGACATAACCGTGTAAGAAGTTTGCAAAGTCACATGGGTCTTTTACTGCTTCTCAATGCTTGCATTTCCTCGGTGCTTTCTGCTACATTTACCATAATGGATGGAGCCTGCCTTTCACAGCAACCATGACAGTGTGCGTTTTCAAAAGTGTGAGGGGTCAGGGAGGGCAAGCACTGAGGGGCTGCACTTCTGTGCTCAGAGAAATGGAGCTGAGACTCTGCTAAGGCTCCTTGAAGTTCCCTGGTGCTTTATGCCGCTGGGGGAGATGAAAAGCAAGAGGGCACACTTTATCAGGCAGTGAAGATGCCTCTGTGTTCGGCCCTCTGCCTCTGGAACTCTGCAAATTACTTCATTTTCCTGAGCTGCCACCATTATAAGGCAGAGGTGTTTCCACTGTTCAGAACCGAGGAGGCTGATGACAAACTCTCAGATGTAACACACAGAAGTAAAAACTACCAATTTTATTAATTAGAAATATATTTTTTTCATTTAGGAATTAAAGTGCTACAACCAGATGGAAATTCTCTCCTGCCGGATGGAAAGCCTGGTAATTCATTGTGGGTGGAGACCCATGGGATTCTGAGCTTACTGTCATCATTCAGAGAGCTCAGGGTCTGGGGAGGGCACCTCCACTGTACAGTTTCTGACAGCTCATCTTGATGTGAGAAGGGGGTGTGGGGCAGGGGTTTGCTGAGAACTCATTTCTGTGTGAGCAGGCTGCTAAAGCCTGGAAGAGTGGGTGACTTGACACTGGGAAGCGGCACCCAGCGGTGCTTCCTGTTCCAGAGCGAGTCGGGATCTGCAGCAGGCCTGTAGACACAATACACTATTGAGAGTGGCAATGAGTCCTTCCAGCATGCCCGCGCAGGACCAGTACTCCTGGGTCAGCCTGCCTTCTCTTCCTCAGCAGGCCAGAGACCACGCATTGCGCCCCTTTGGAAAGCTGTGTGAAGTGCAGGCTTTTAAAGGCTAGGCTCACCTAACCTAACAAGGTAGACACCGCTTTTTCAGAGGAAGACTAGGGATGATGAGGGCAAAAAGGGACAGCAGACTCACACCATCTATTCTGGACTTCTAGAATTGGCATTTAGATTAAAACTACAAAAATGTGACTGTCGTGCACCCAAGGCTAGCCACACGCCTGTGCTGATACAACATTGCAGCTGGGAGCAGAGGTTCAAAGGCAGACCCTGAGCCCACGGCCCCTCACCTCTGCGCCTGCGTGCATCATGTGAACCCTTGACAGTGCAGATGCTGGGAGCAGCGTCCTTGAGGTGCCAGCTCTGCCTAGAGGGACCATTAGATGACAATGCAGGGCTTTCGTGACGTGCTGGCACTCAGTAAGGCGAGCACAGCTGGCTTGTCCTGGGCAGTCTGAGTTCAGTATACAGAAAAGGGTTCTCCTGGTAAACTTCACATTATGAAAACATACACATTCATGGGGGAAATTTTTTTCAGAGTAGTAGATGGGCAAAATTAAACCCATCCCCAAGTTCACATGTGCCTCTGGACCAGTTTCCCTTGGCTCCAGGCCCACTCCCAAAAGGGGAATCAGCTTGCTTCATCTTTGAGATATTTCTTGTCTGGATGAAATACATGGTGCAGTAACCCAGAATCTCTTTATGTTCTAAAAGACAAAAGTCAAGGACATGCCGACAATCCTAGTAAGAAAAAGCTTTCCTTTAGTTGATAAATGCTCTGAGATATAAAAATGTCAAGTTTTTGCTCACTAAAGGGTGACAGAGTTACATGGTTTTGAGGTAACCAAACAGTGTGCCACCATCCAGATGTGTGTATTTGGCGAGGGCATCTGTCTCCTCTAAGTGACCATTAATTGGAGTCAGTTTCATTTAGAATGTGGAAGTGGTAAATTAATAAAATAGATCCTATATGAAAATCTGGGTTAAGGGCATACTGGCAGCTCTTGCATCTAAGATCAAAGTGAAGCAGAAGCAGACAGTGCTAATTAAAACTACTGGAATCTACCTGGTGTATATGGCAAGCTCCAGGTTGTGTGAGCACTAGAAGCAGATTCTTTTGTTTATAGCTGTCTGTAAACTGAAACTTGAAAACGGCAGAAAGTAGGTCCATGCTTCCGTGTACAAGGCTACGCCAAGCATTTCAGATCTAGCTCCTCAGGGGCAGAGCTAGCAAGGCCCATACTCAGTCATTAGCACCCGCACCCCACCCTGGACAGCTTCAGGATTGCTCCTCAGTGCAGGCTGCAGTAGCACCGTGAGGCACAAGTGACCTCCTTTCCACCTCTAGCCACGTGACCACACATCTGCAACTGTGGCAAGCAAACTGACAAGAGGCTCTAGGTAACCCTGCTGCTTCTCTTGGCTTCACGTATGAAACCTGAGATTTCACCTATGAAATCCTAGTCTGAGAGACTCCCAGAGAGCTCTCCCTTCCCCATGCAATCAGCGTAAACAAAAGGTGTGAAGTGAGACACCACCCTGGTAGCTCTGCTGGGCGAGGGGGGGGGGGAAGGACCCCAGTTTACCCTGATAGCTCTGCTGGCCCGAGGGAAAGGACCCCAGTTTCCTCCAAAGCCATGTCCACGAGGAGGCAGCACACGCGCGCGCGCGCGCACACACACACACACACACACACTCTGTTTGCAGGCTCAGTGTTTTAAGATGCAGTTATATCCAGCTGTTTCCCGGCAGCTGTGTGAATGTGCACACGCACTGTCTTGGTTTGAAATGAGACACCTGAGCTAAGTTTTACACCATATGATCTAAAGCAAATGGAAAGAGAGAATTGTGAAGAAATTCTGGTGCACCCAAATTGTCTTGGCTACCTATATAGATTAAAAAACCCATAAAATCTGAGAACCAACCAACCAACCCAGCAGTATGTCCTGAGGAGAGATCTGGATATTTAGCCGGAAACTGTGACACTGCGAGTAAGTGCAGCAAGTGCCTAGCAGAAGGTATTTCAGTGGGCTTCCACCGCAGCCTCTTGCTGTTCAGTTGTGCTGTCTACTCTGCTCTAGGTGGGGGATGCCCAATACATACCGCAAACTGATGTGTCCATGACTGTGTTCTCTTTAACAGCTCCAGGTCCAGGTCCAGATCCAGTTCCAGGTCCCAAAACCCATCCTTCTGCATCCTCTGGCAAAAGGCTCCTTCCGTCAGTCACAGCATCCATCATTTTAACTGTCGCTTCTGCTGTAAACTTTCTTGCTCTAGAGCTTGAAATGATATCTTAACCTTTATTTGAAAGATGCTATTGGGATCCCACAGGTCAAGAGAAAAGGTGTATCTTTCACTTGGACAGACTTAGTGTGTAAAGTAAGAACCATGTATTTGTTCCTTGTTTTACTATTTAAAAGCCGGTCCAGATAGTGTCATAGAATTAACTTTTCATTTCTGTATTAATTTTCGGATTATGAAAATCCCAAAGCTGTATACTTGTGATTGTATTCAATAAAAAATTTAAGTTTATTAAATTCCTGTAGAATTTCCAAATTTTAAAAGTCCATTCCTAACGTTAGTGATTGACATGAATTTAAAGCCAGAATCAAGGTGTGAATGATACTTGTTTCTTTCTCACTTCAAATAGGTAGACAGGGACAGTGAGCATGAGCTCCTAAGATAGCAGCCTCTTGCTCCCAGGAGACAAGGCAGGTAGAAAATGGTAGGCAGGAAGAGGCCACTTGGGGACCCGTTAATAAGACTCCCAGCTTTGGGATCCCTCTCTGTCCCACTCGCTTCAGGAAAGCTGTTACTTTTCTGCGCATTTCTGTCTTTTCCTTCTCACCAAAAGTACCTGGCAATCCCCTAGATCATCACCCAGACCTCTGTTAACACTAGCAATTTCCAAACCTGCTACATGAATGGTGAGGCAAGAGCCCTGACTAGTCATCCACCGAGTGTATGCTCAGTTGTCTACAGAAGGGTATGCAGACCATCAGAAAACCCTCTGTGCACATGGCTCCAACGAGAACAGGCCAACTTCTGCCTAAGTGAAAACGAGCTCATGCAAAGACAACTCTCTCCCAAAGCCACTGGAATTGCAACAAGCAGGGAAGAAAGATGGAAAACAAGCAAACAAAAACCAAAACAAAACAGGGAAGAGTGGTATTATGTTTGCAGGCCACAAACTCAGCAGCAGCAACTACAGAATCCTGTCAACTTGGAACATTTTAGTCTGTTCTTTGCAGTGTAGCCTCTTCTGCATCAGCAGGATTCTAGACACACACAGCACTTTCCTCCCCACCCCCATGTTAGGACAGCAGCAAGATTCACAGTGCTATCCCTCATAACATCCCTCAGTGTAAGCCAAATGTAGTTACAGCATTTGGAGAGGTGCTAACAAGCCACAGCCCAGGTACATTTTGCAGGCAGAAGCTGTACTTAAAATTGGTGGACTATGGAAGAATCACATTATGTTGCTGAACTCAGCCATTGTTTTCAGATGCTAATATATGAGGGAATTCTTCATCCTGTAAGATGACTTTCATTTGTTACACCCTGGTCAAAATATGTCAGCACCGACAAGTCCTCAAATAAAACATCAGACATAATTACATAAAATTACAAATTAACAATTTATTTTAAGGATTTCAGTTTTAGAAATAAAGTTAAAAAAAAAAAAGCTTGCAAAAATGATTTTGTTACAGTCTAATTGGTTAGGTATTTTCTGTAAGTTCCAAATAAGTAAAATAATATAAAAATATATATTTCAAGTCTTCATAGAACAAAAAGGAAAACCACGCAAATCACTGAATACTTTGAGATTTTCTTTACTCCCCACAGATACAAACGCCAGTGTGTCTACACTCTGAAGCAGGTCTCCCACAGCCACGCAGCTAGAGTTTATTCTGTTACGTGGGAAGTAGCTAGGTTTCATTTTGTGCTATGGAAAAGAGAATGGAGAATAATCATTACACACTGTGACTATGCTTCATACTGTTGTAAAATGTACAACAGCACATATACTTTGGGTAATTGTGTACTTTTTAAAAAGTAAAGCTTTTAGATATAATTTTTTCAAAGATTCTCTTTGAAGAGCTTTGTGGTGACCATTTCAGATTTAATGTACAGTAATTTCCCAGGAACCTCAAACATCCCAGCAAGGAAAAGGATCCTTTCTCCCGTCCATGTGGTTGTCGTAAAGAAGGCCTGATGTAGCAGGAAGATGCATTTTATAAACCTCCGGAGAAGTTTGTAAACGGTCAGCTAAAGACACCGCCTCTGCTATGGATGGTTTCATTCAATCCATGTTCTACCAGTTTTATATCTTCTAGGTCATCTTTTATGATGCTAATTAAGTGGCTAAGGCCTTCCTGTTGTTGTTTCAAATGCTAGAATAAATTAAAGAAAATAAAATGTGAGTGTATTTTTCTGTTAAACTACAAGCTACTTACAATACAGTACTTAGCAACTAAAAACAAGCATTCACAGTTAAACAGCTATGACCAGAAGTACAAGATATACCCTAAAACCAGGTAAAACCAAAAAAGGTATGCACCAACAATATCTTTTGTGCTGGGGCTTGAGCCCAGGGCTGCATTGCATAATAGGCAAGCACTCCACCAACTGAGCCCCACCCCTAGTGCCAGCTTTTCAATTTAATGTAGACAGAGATCATTCTAGACCGTGACAAAATACAGCTGAGAGGACTTGGAGGAAGCCTGAGATTTACGTCTCCACTGCCACAAGTCCTGCCACTGCCTATACTTTGGCACTTGTGTTATCTAGATATATTCTGTGGGGAGGCTCTTTGCTGTGGCATGACACTACGTGGACAGTTTTAGTGTACAGAGATGTACACTTTCCATCATTAGGCATCTGTCACTGTGTCAGAAGGGGAACCACACAGTACTTGTCCTTGTGTGACGGCATATTCCAAGGTCTACCCACGTTGAACCTTTTGAGGAGGGAGGACGACTTCACTCTGGGTACATGCACACAGGCGTATAAATGTCCTGCAGACGCCTGCTTTCAACTTTTGCGGTATGTATATCCAGAAGTAGGTAGAACTGGCTGGATGTGGTGGCAGGTGCCTTAAAGCTGGCAGAGCTTTCAAGTGGCAGAGGCAGACAGACTCTGAGTGTAAGACCAATCTAGTCTACACAGCAAATTCCTGGACAACCAGAATTACACAGTGAAACCTTGTCTCAGAAACAAACAGGACGTACAACTGCCAGGTGACAGGTTAAGTCTACTTTTAATTTTTTGAGGAAGCAATGTTTTTGTATTTTCTGTGTGAAGGTTACAGTTTTTTAACATGCAGCAGTATCTCAGCTGCTGAGTAGCCATCCTGACTGAGGTAAAGTTGCAAAGTTACCTACCTGCTTGATTTCTCTTAACAGGTCTGCATCTATGTAATACCTTTCTTCCGATTTCACAGCTCCAAAGTGATTCTGCATCCTGATCTGAGACATCAGTTCATTCAGTCGACCCTAAAAATGAGTCAGAAACAAGTGCTAACAATCACAGCCACTCCTAAAGATGATGGCTGCTTTTGAAAAGACGGCTTCAAAACCTCAGTTAAACTCCCAGTTCTTCGATTGGAAACATTAACGAAAGCCAAAGGAACCATGACTGAGAATTTTAGGAAGTTTTAATTAATGCTAACAAATGCTTAAGCTTAAGACACACAACTCTACCCAGAAGTCCTGTGCAACAGAACGACCACCTGACACTTCTGTACAGAGCACCTCAGGCAGCCTCTGCTGGACAGACTTAGAAGCGCTTACTTTGAACTGAGTAGGTGCGTTCAGTTCACCCTGAATAGTATCTAGCTGAACCCGCAACTGTTCTTCATCAGCCTGGATGGCGTAGCCACTCTTCCTCTGAATTTCCTGTTTGATTAGGACCTAAAAAAAAGATAAAGACATCAGTACTATCTAGTAGAACACTTTTAAAAATCAATTATGGACTTGCTGTTAAAAACTCACTGAGAACTAATCCAGGGGGTGCTTTGAAAAACTTGCACTTGGAAGGCTAAGGCAGGAGGACCACAAATCTGAGGTCAGCCTGAGGAACGAGGGGTTCCATGAGATCCTGCCTCAAACAATACAAACTCTAGACATTTAAAAAACAAAACAGAGAAAAACAAAAAGAGAAGTTCTTTATGCTTACACTTGAATAAAGTGCCTTTACATGCCTGCTATCTTAGATTTTCTCATCAAAAGTGTCTTTATATAAACATAGTAACATAGCTAAAATCAATGCTGTTTATAAATTTACTTTTTTTTTAACTGTAAAGACTACTAAAAAAAGATAGACAAAGATCATTTGTTTTGAGACAAGGTCTCATGCAGCCCAAGATGGACGCAAATTTGATTTGCGGATGAGCTTGGATTCCTGGTGCTCTCGCCCATCTCAAACGCGCTAGGGTTATAGGCATGCACGCCACATCCACACTTAGTGTCTGCTCGAGTGTCCAGCCTTTTGGTCAAGTGGGCATCTCTGCAATCTCCACGTCACACATGTAGCCAACATGAGTACAAAGGTGAGCAGCTGCTGAGAGGCGAGGGGATTCTCTGTAGGATGATAAAATCATCCTAAAACTGGGCAGACTCGTGGACGGTGTATCGTTTAAGTGCGTTAATATATGGAATGTTGTTCAAAGATGAAGAAAAAAGAAGCCATCAATATTTTCCCTCAGTTTAGAAAGATTAAGTAACAAGAATTAGTTTTTTTATTAGGTAGACAAAATTTAACAATGAAATCAGCTACACCTGGGAGTTTTCTGTGTGGGCTTTGGTAGTTCTCTCTCCTGCTTTCTGGGCACTTAGCAGTTTCTTTACTTTGCCGCACATCACTTTTGGTAATTTTTATTGTCAGGAAATCATCTATCTAGGGTTCAAATCTGAAAAATGCATACTGTCTAGGCCTCTGTATGTGGCGGTGTTTCTCACTGCTTTGGGTATCCATCTCTGGCTGAGATGGTTATCCATTTTGGTAGCTGTCCACAGAAACAGCTTTTCAGTCCTTTCCACAGGTCTCCCTTACAGCTTGCAAACTTAGCTTGGTATTTCTATAATTTCTTAACAATGAGCTCATCATATTTTTATTTGGTATTATTTGGCTTGTGTCCCTTCAAATTTGATACGTGGTAATTGTTTTCATGACAATTTATGATTTCAGGTTTTACTGCTATCTCATTCTGTTTGTTAAACTGGCAATTGGTTTTTATCATTAATACACGGTCACATTCCTGTTCCTGCTACTCAAAATGGTTTCTACTCTATGAAACCAATCTGATTTTATACCTTCCCTTGTACCAAAATTGTTTTGTCACTCTGTCACTAAAATATAAACTTTAGAAATATTTCTACCCTCATCTCCCACCTGTGGGATCTTTCCTGCAACTTCTGAGTCTTTTTCCTATTTGGAAAAAGATATTCCTTATTTGGCCCATATTTCACATATAACATATTAAAAACACTGGTGAAATCCCAGTTATTACCTGTAAAGTTCTGTGGGAGAGATCCAT